ATAAACAATCCAAACAAGACTGAGTGCTCAGACCTGTATGGGCTGTCCTGTATAATTTCTCCTGGGGTGGAATTCAACATAGGCTGGACCCATTTGGCCCCAAAACTCCAAGGCAGGCTGGAGTGTCTGGCAAGAGAGTCTCTTGCTAACAGATGCTTTGGTTTCTGAGGTGAACCTCAGAGGTTTGGAAACCTTTATGGAGACTGCTCTCAGAAGACACCTGCAAAGATATTGTGAGCTTTGTTTCTCCAGAGTCATACTGGGCTGCAGGTCTTCAGAGGATCAGACCTGACACTGAGAGTTACAGTTCTCTGTCACTGCTGGATGCAGCTCTATCACAGTGCTCTGCTAAGATTTCTGGTAGCTGAAAAGCACTTTTTCCTTCTAAGACCTCTCACTCTGTAAGAACCCAGAATGTTTCAGGCCAATCCCTGATGTAGTAAGATGGCTTCAGGTTCATTACGCTGCTCCTTCCCAGCAGTTGTTTGTGTAGACTTATAGGAATCTGGATTTTTGGTTTGTGGTTGCAATGTAGTGAACCTGTTCTTGACACAGGCACTCCAAGTCAAGTATCAGCAAACTATAGCCCATGGGCCAAATCTAGCCAGCAGCCTGCTTTTGTACTACCTGCCAGCTAAGAATGGTTTTTTACATTTTAAAAGGGTTATGAAAACAAAGAACATGTGACAGAGACCTATGTGAACCACAAAGCCTAAGATATTTACTATCTGGTCTCTTACAGAAAAAGTTTGTCAACCTCTGCCTACTCTTAAGTCCCTAGTTCCCTGACATGCAGCTGTACTAACAGCTGACATTGGCTACTGTGTGAAACTGTGAAAGGGACAGAGACTATTTGTTCTCAGGCCCTCTTACAAGAACAGCCTCATTCATTCATCTTTGCATTCAAGAAACTCTGTTGCTTGTCATCTGAGCACTAAACACTCAGAGATGTAAGGCATTGCTGCTGCTGTAAGATGCACTGCCCAACTTAGGAAGGAGAGGACATCTAACAAGGGGAGGGAGGCCTACCCTCAACAATACCTATTCCTACTCCCTGCAGAAAAGCCTCCTCCTCCCTTGCCCCTTCCAGCATTCCTCCATGCTGCCTGAGAGCTGTGCAGTCCCCAACCCCCAGCCAAACTTCATCAGTGTCTTCCCAGCAGACCCCCAGGTCCTGGTCCCCTGGTATTAAACCCTGGAGAGCATCAGAATCATCTGGTGATTTTTTTTTTCAATATATGTACACAAGCCCCATCCAAGATCCACTGGAATCTCAAGGGGTGGATGCTAGAGATAGAGTTTTAACAGGCTCACTAGGTGATTAAAATATAGCCAGCTGTGCAGTGGTCTACAAACTAACCTCAAAACCACTGCTCAGGCCTTGTCTTTCCCACCCCCATTGTAATGTGCTACAAACTAACCTCAAAACCACTGCTCAGGCCTTGTCTTTCCCACCACCATTGTAATGTGCCTGTCCTCATCCCCCTTCTGGTAATATTTCCTGGCAATTAGAGCTAAACTTTGCAGAGCCTCTTGGAGACAGCGCCTTAACCCAAAGGCATGATTCCACCGGTAGGTTTTGTGAACGTGTAACATGCAATAGGGACAGCTTAAGAGCAGGGAACCCTGGGAGACTATCTCTAAGGCAGGCCCTGGAGCTTTTCACATTTGCTTCTTCTTGGGTTTTCTTCTAGTTCCAGGAGGATTAGTGGAGAGCTCAATTTAAATGATCCCCCAGACAACTTTTGACAAGAAGACCCCAGCAACATTAACTATCACAAAGTCCTAGTCTCAAAATTGAGGCCATAATTTGCAAAATTCCAGCCCATAAGGCAGCCTCACATCTTTTCTGACTGAGAACAGCCCTCATTTAGGCAGATCTCTTCTTCAAATAAAGAGCAGCCAAAGATCTGATGAAATCGAGAGGCTTCGGTCTATAACTCAAGAGGATACAGTTACTTGTATCGATAAATATTCTAAGCTAGATGATGACCAAAGGCATTCTGTTTAAATAGAAAATTTTAAAAGAATGAAAACTTAGGAATGTCTAACTCAGCCCTTCCATTTGAAATTGGCATTTTGGTTTAAAATGCCCTGGGGGAGCTGCCCAGAAACTATGAGTTCACTCCATAAAACCAAAACAGACCAAATTCTGTCATTATCAATTTCTAAGACAGTGCCCAGTTTTGTATTAGTATTCTAGATCATATATTGCTGGGAAAAGTTTGCAATATTTCATTTGAAGGACATGTTTATTGTAACATGTTTAACTTGTGTATAGAGGCACAGAAATTAGGAATATTTGTACAAGCTAGAATTCTATTGCTGGTAGTCAGCATCTGCTTTTAAAAGCCACGTGGTGATGTACATTTGAAATTTGTATAATGTTATAAACCAATGTTACTTCAATTTTAAAAAAGCCCAATATCATCTAATTCCTACTAAAATCATTTGAATAGATTATTATAAAACTTAAAATCTATAATGATGATAACTGTTTTTACCATTGAATCTCAAGTGGAAAGATTTTGGATTTGTTCTAATACTATTCCAAATAGGATTATGATTCTTAAAATGTAAAAAAAAAAAAAAAAAAAAAAAGCCACATGGATTATCTTGAGAATAACTTCCAGAGAGTGCTGGTTTAAACCAGGATAATATTTAAATAAAGCACCTATTTAGATTAGACATTAAAATTCTCTAGACTATTTATTTTATGCCAAATCAGCCTAGAAATTGAATGATTATTTAAATTCCATAGAAAAGGTAATGTGTGACTAAAAGGCTTTTCTCAGAAGAAAGCTTTGAGATGTCTGTTTCAGTTGTTAAAATTCGAGATGTCTGATTTATCCTTTTTTTTAAAAAAAAGATTGGCACCTGAGCTAACATCTGTTGCTAATCTTCTCTTTTTTCTTATTCTTCTTCTCAAAGCCCCGCAGTACATAGTTGTATATTCTAGTTGTAGGTCCTTCTGGTTGTGCTATGTAGGATGCTGCCTCAGCATGGCTTGATGGGTGGTGCCATGTCCGTGCCCAAGATCTGAACTGGTGAAACCCTGGACTGCTGAAGCAGAGCACACAGACTTAACCACTTGGCCATGGGGCCAGCCCCTGATTTATCCTATTATAATAGCAATAACTCATAAAAGAGTTCCCAGTTAATTTTGAATTTTACTTTCAGAACTGATTTTATTCAGCCTCTGTCCTGACAGAGCAAACTGATAGATTTGAGTTTCTCCTGCTTGCCTTCCCTACCATACCTGCACACCTGAGTGCTATTTTAATGATGTTTAATGAGGGCCCAAGCAGGATGTCCAAAAGAGGCAGATTAAAGTTCCAAACTCATCAGAAGTCAAAGCGAAGGCTCTACTCAACCCAGAAGAAAGTCTGTGTGGATTGCAAGGACGGACACCCTAATGGCTGTCCCACCTTCCCAGCAGTTGCACTTATGTGTGATATTCAGAACACATTTTCGTTTTCCCCTCATAGTAGTTTCAGGGCTGTTTGTTTGGGGAACAGCATGGCTTTCACAAATTAGAGTAAGTTCTCTGGGCTGTCAGAGAATACTTAATTGCTTTTCACAGGCTGCTCTTTCACTTGAGCCAAAGTATTTTGAGAACTTCATGATGCGACCAAATAACCATGATTTCAGTCTTGGAGTAGGAAGGTGACCTGAAGAATGGAAAGTCTGATCGTGAAGACCCCAAAAGCCCAAGATACATGCCAGTCCTGGTCTATCATTGTTTCATACATAAGAGACATTCAGACACTTCCACAATTAGAGACAAAGTCAGTGCAGAAAAAAGGCTGTCATTATGTATCTGACCAAACCAGAAAGCTCACTTACCAAAAGCAAAATCTGTTTATGTCATTGTGATTCCAAGTAATGAACATATTTAGATGTGCCAGTTTTTCTAAGAACTGAAGCAGAAAGAATATCTGGGTTCTGAATTGGCTTGCTTTGCCAGGTAATTGTTCCATCACCTCTCAGTTGAGTTCTTCAGGCTGCTAACACATCTTCACTTTGGTCTTACCTGTTTTCCTTTGCCATTTTCTTCCTTTGAAGATTTTTTTCCCACAGCCTTTGCTATGTTTTTGTTGTTGTTGTTGGAAGTCGAAAGCTCTTCTTTAGAACATGTGAATAAAACTGGTCATGTTACAGATTTAGAAACTCAGAGCAGCCTAAATAAGCTCTTCTTACTTATGGACAGATAATCCTATCCCCGCTAAAAAAGGGAGATGTGATTTAGGTCATTTTAGACTTACAATTTGAGTTGCTTCTGCCCAGTCTCAAGCACCAGATATGGGGAAAATGGGCTGGAGTCAGAGCACAGGGAAGCAACAAAAGCACAACAGATTGTTACCGCAGTGCTTTAGCACCTGTGCTTCTGGAGAGTCCTCTGCTCCCAGAGCATTTGCAACTAAAAGAAAAAAAACTTGACAGTCCATTGCCCTCTCCTGGCACTCCAGCAGGAAATAAGACTTAGAGCTAAGCCTCCAGAAGGAAGAAGTAGTGTACTATCCTCTAGTTATAAGGGTTGAGGGCTACAAAAAGAAAACCTATAAGAGAAAAAAGAAACTACTTTTTTTTTTTTTAAGGAAAGGAGGAGGGATTAATAAAGACATAGACATGATTAAAATAAGTATTATTCCTGTCGATTCTAAAATCTTTCCTCTTTGGAAGGCTTAGATTACAGCTATTCTGGAGGGGAGAGAGACTGAACAAACACCTATAATTTGAGAGAAGATTCTCTGCCCTGTCCTTTCCCTCATTGGACAAGCTGCGGTGAACACCTTTAGGATTCAAACTTAGCACATGACTAACCAACCTGAGTGCTGCTGCACTGATACTGGTAGAATTTCCATTGTTATTAACCAAGCTTGGAATGCCCTGAGCACACACTTTATCCTTGGAGGATCCAAATGCTAGACTGGTCCTCCATGCAGATGGGGCGGTGTGGCTTCCGTAGTCATGAAGACATGGCGTTTCTTTCCCCACAGGTGATATCCGCAATGACCTTTACCTAACCCTGGAAAAGGGGGATTTCGAGAGAGGGGGAAAGAGTGTACAAAAGAACATTGAAGTGACCATGTATGTGCTTTATGCAGATGGAGAAATATTGAAGGTAAGGCTTGCCAGTCAGTTTGGAATAGAGGCTAACCCTGTAAAAGTTCTAGTACTTCTGTAGACTTTGTTCAAAGACCCATTCTTCTCAGGCAGGACTGAACTCAAATCACCTCATATTCTTCTCTGCTTTTTCCTTTCTTCAAGGAAACTCTACAGTATGCTTTGATAATGACTTCCAGTGTCATACAGCCTTTTTAGAAATTCTTCCTAGGGTCTGACCTGAATCCTTCCCTCTCCAATTTAGACCTATTCCCTCTAGTTCTATCCTGCGTGTTACTTCCTCTGTCGTACCGTCTAGCATCAAGCTGTCTACTTTTGATTACTCTTATTCGGTTCCACACTTTTTGTTCCTTGGGCTAATACAGAAAGTTATGTTTGTTCCTTGGTAAGAGGTGGTACTTAGGTACTCACTTGCTGGTACCAAGTCATATGACAAGGGACAGTAACAGACTCAAGCCCTAAAAGATTATTTCTAGCCAATGCAGTACAAAGATCCTCTGTCACTCTTCATTGAAAGCAAAGACTTGGAGTGCTATTATTTCTATTGTCAGTATGTAGTTTTTCCCTCAGTCATATCATGGTGAAGTCCGTGGCAAGAAAATTGCATGGCACTTGGTGGAAGGCAAATCAGTCTTTTACAAACCTTGCTTCTCTATGTTGACAACAGCCTTGTGAGAAAGGCAGAATGGGAGTGATCATCCACATTTTACAGAAGGAAGAAGGTAAAATTAATCAAAATCATCTCCTAAAGCTAGAAAGAAATGTGGGAGAATGTTGAAATGGTGGTAGAAACAATGATTTGTGTGTCATTTTAAAAACCCGCCTCAAGAACTAGGACATGTCCATTGCTTGCATGAATAATGCCAAGGTCAGCAGAGCTGTCAGCTGTTCACACTACCCCTGTGCAGACAGGGAGCTGCTCCTGATTATATTGCCTGAAGCTTCCTGTCCTCCAGAGAAGGGCCATGGACAGTCCCAGGACTGCTGCTTCATGGCAATATTTAGGAACTTAGGTCAAGCTAAATCTGGTCTATCTTGTTTATATCCAAGGACAGTCAACCAAGGGACCTAAAATGCCAGTGTAACATTGGGCTGAGGAAGATTAGAAAAAAGGTCTCTCCACTTTGTAACTTAATTATTTTTCTGACCTGGTAAAGTACCATGTGCAGTTGACTTCTCCCATGGAATTTATTGTTCCCTTTCTTAGTGAGGATGAAGAGCCTACCTTAGTGATTCATATACACTCCTCAGCTTCCCTCTAGTTTATTGAGCAGTGTGTGTGGTTACTTCTGGCCAAAGGAAAACAAGGAGCATTGGGACTGCTGATTCCTTATACCATCTACACAGTTGTTTCAAAAAGTATTAAATTTAAGTCAAATGAATTTTCTCATCTTATAAATTTGGCCTGGTGGTAAAATGAGAAAGTAAGTTGTCCTAGTGACACACAGAAATCTAGGGACTCCCTCCACAAAGATGACACCTTATGGTGCTTCTCTCTTCCAGGATTGCATCAGCTTGGGTTCAGGAGAGCCAAATAGAAGTTCCTACCATTCCTTCGTCCTCTACCACAGTAATAGTCCTCGCTGGGGAGAAATTATCAAATTGCCCATCCCCATTGACCGGTTCCGGGGCTCCCACCTGCGCTTCGAGTTCAGACATTGTTCTAGTGAGTGAGACTTCTCTCCACATTCCTTTGAGGATATGAATGTAACTCTTTCCTCTCTGAAACAGAATTAAGAGGGTTCTTATTATTGGGGCAAGAAAATGAGGAGTTATGAATAAATAGGCACTTAGAAATGGGATGTCATCAGAGACTGCTTTTTGGACAGTGATTTAAACCCTTGGGTCTGGTATTGACCCTTCCTAGTGTCTGACCTGGACACTGGGTAATTGCCAATGTCATTCCCCTTTGAGTGTTTCCTTTGTAAGTGTTAAATTACTTCTTAAAGAGCCCCTGGTTTATCAAGACCAGCAGTTTAGTTTCTCTTTGGGTCTGGGTAGCCCACATACCTTGACTTATAAATGGAAATCCAGTTCAGTACATTTCTCATCATTCCTGCAATCAGGTTGCTACCTAATTAATGAAAGAAGTAAGGGGCAAAGAAGTAAATTGCATAGGCGATAAGCACAAGGGGGATTTCTGTTAAAAAGCAAGAACTACTAACACTTGCCTCTGATTGCAGCAAAGGACAAAGGGGAAAAGAAACTCTTTGGCTTTGCATTCTCACCCCTGATGCGGGACGATGGTACCACACTCTCAGATGATATCCATGAGCTCTATGTATACAAGGTATGGGGCCTGGCTATCTCTCATCCCAACCATCACCCCTCTGAGGCTACTCTCACACATGAGTCTCAGTTAGGTGGTTTTCATTGGGTGGGCTAGAGGATCCAGGGTAGTGTACTGGTGGGTGACAGCAGGACAGCTGTGGGAAGCCTTTTGTCTTCTAAATACAGTCACCTTCCTCCTACCAGTAATGCCAGCAGGACCTTTGTTCCCCACCTCCCACTCTGCTAGTAATAGAAATCCATTACCAACCCCTCTGTGCCATTGTGGCCCTGGCTAGTAGATTTGGAGATCTACTATTTGAGATCATGTTTCTGTCAGCTGTTACAGTGTAGCTGCCAATCAGGGTTGTCTGCGCACCAGGTAGAGACCACATGCCCTGCTATGTTCTCTTTAAAAGGCATGTGAGCCATCCTGGTGAGTTTCTTAAACATAAAGCACTCTTCTAAAAGGACCTCAGACCCAAGGTCCAGCCTCAGAAAGATGAGAGCAAATATTAACTCAGAAATTCCCTGGGACCTGATTTTTATGTGTGGTGTGGTTCAGGAAACATTCTGTATTCTCTACTTTTGCCTACAGTGTGATGAGAATAGCACATTTAACAACCATGCTCTGTACCTGGGCCTGCCCTGCTGCAAAGAGGACTACAGTGGCTGCCCTAACATTCCCTCTAGCCTCATCTTCCAGCGCAGCACCAAAGAGTCTTTCTTTATTTCCACACAACTGTCCTCCACCAAACTCACCCAGAATGGTAGGTGATGGTGCCCTCCTCTATCCTCAGTTGCTGGTTCCACTTTGCTAATGTGTGTTAAGGGAGACAGAATTTATTGCTTTTTCATGCCACAATGAGAGGATTCTTTTCATTAAATCTCTTGGCAGTAGCAGCCTGTGAGGTTTCTCATGGTTTTTAGCAGCTCCAGAGTGCACATCTGGAGTTCACAGATGTGTCTTTGGCCTTGATCTCAGCACTAAAGAGTTGTAATACTGCTATTTCTGTTCTTCTAGATCCCACCTGTCCTTGTCTGGGAGAGTCTGGGCGTCACTTGTCCTTGACATAACAGGGCTCACAATCTTTTGGGCTTACTTTCTAGTGGACCTCCTTGCTCTGCTGAAATGGAAGGCCTTTCCAGACCGGATCATGGACATCCTAGGGCGGCTGCGTCATGTCAATGGGGAAGAAATTGTTAAGGTATGACTTTCACGCAGTTTTCACACGCTGCCTGAGCGAGCAGCAGCTAGGCAGAAGGCCTTACTTCCCCTTGATTTCTGCCAGTAAGACCATTTTTCAAGATATATAATTAGATGAGTAGGAATAAAGTTTTTTTCTTTTTTTTTTAGTTAGCTTCTTTTTTAAGAGTAGGTGTCACATTAGGTTTATTACCTTTTAGAAACTATGTTTAAGTTATAAACCCTATTTTCTGACTACTTCTTCTTAGAAAGCAGAACGATAATTAATGGTAAAAGCATCCTCTGAGAAACAATCCCAGTGCTTTATGCTGCCTGCCTTCCTTTAGGTCTCCTCCCTGATTCAACTGCTTTCTTCAGGTACCTGGTGACATTTCCCATCTTATGGCCTGAGCAGGTTGACAGCAACACTACCAGTCCCCGGTTGTTTTCTGTAGGACTTCTTTGTACTGTGTAGAGTATTTTCCCACCTGGTTTTAGCTCAAAAAACCCCCCAGGCACTTCCTGATGGTGAAATCCCAGCAGGTAGATTCTACAGAATGGACTGAACTCTACAGAGGATAATGGAGGTCCTTTTGGTGATCAGCAAGAGCAGTCGAATATAAAATAGAGATTAAACTTCAAGAAGGCAACTTGTCCATCGATGAGCATTCTTAGCTTTATCATTGCGAGTATCAAATCAGTTAGCACACATGCACTGTCTATACTTTCATTTTACAGCTCCATTGACTCAATAATGCACAACACGGTGTCTTCAAATGAGGAGCAATTTTAGTCTGTGTACCTCTTTGTACTTTTATGAAGTCTTGTATGAATTTTGTTTTAATCAGTTTATCAGAGTATCATAAGTTTTGGAAAGAACTCTTCACAAACAAGCTAATACTAGTTTTTGAAACTTAAGATAAATTCATGCTCAGGGCATTTTTTCCTTCTAAACATATTAAAACTAAAACTATCAGCCGATAAACAGACAATGTATTAAGAAAAGTTTGTGATCTTTTTAAGGCTGAGTTGTCATATTCCTTACAAGAGAACATCCTACCAGCATGTCTGGTTTTGGCGTCAATGGTTTGTCTCAAGCCAGCCAGAAGAGATGTGAAGAGCATTTGAAAATATTTCTTTATTTTTTATTGGAAGATTTCAAATGTGCAGAAAAGTAGACAAGGTCCTGGCCCTGTGGTGTAGTGGTTGAGTCCTACATGCTCTGCTTCAGTGGCCCAGGTTTACAGGTTCAGATCCCAGACACAGACCTATACCACTGTCAAGCCGTGCTGTGGCAGTGACCCACATATAAAGTAGAATAAGATTGGCACAGATGTTAGCTCAGGGCTAATCGTCCTCCAGCAAGAGAAAAAAAAAGGAAGATTGGCAACAGATGTTAGAGTGAATCTTCCTCACCAAAAAAAAAAAAAAAGTAGACAAAATAGTATAAAGAACCCTGCCTGTACCCATCGCCCAGCCCGAACTATCATCAGCCCGTGACCAATCCTGCCCATCAACCTCTCTGTCTACACCTTCCACCTTATATTGTTTTGAAATAAATTGTAAACATTGTATCATTAAATTGTATTTTGACCAATGGAATGTTAAATTTTAGTTTTAAAGACTCCAAGCATCCTTGAATATTTATTATGCTCTCCCCTGGTTTTTGCATCTTAGAAAGAAAAAGGCACATTCTCAAAAAAAACAAACAAAAACCGGTGCTTCCTAGATCTTTTACCCTCATTGACAGCCCTCCTCAGCTGTATTCTTCCTTCTTGGATACTAGTTTCTAGACCAGAAGATAGTTTCTGTAGGTAAGGCCTAGCTTGCCACACCTGCATCCAAATGTCCTCTATAGAGTTAGGCCATAGTAGAGAGTAAGGGACTCCTGAACTCTTTGGGGTCCCAGAAAAGTGAGCTCTTTTTCTCAAAATGAAATTGCCGTGAGAATCACTTAGATTGTTTTTATTTCAAGATTGCTGTTCTATACGGATGTCCTATGTTTTTAGGTAATCGTTTTTCCCTAGGAGTTATCACTTACCCAACAGGAAGAGCCTCTCTAGGTCTCTCTCCAGGTCCTTTGGGCTATAAGCAAACACCCCAAGTCCACCTAGTTATCCCTTAGCTGGGTGGAGGTGGGGTACTAGATTATTTTTAAGTGGTAGTTTGAGATCTTAGGAGATCTTTGACTTTGTTTATTGGGACATAAATTCATTGATATATGCAAGTTTGACCATGTGTACAGAGTCCTAAAGCTTGAGCCCTCTGATTTTAATGATGTTGCAGTTTCTGCAGGACATCTTAGATACACTCTTTGTGATTTTGGATGATAATACAGAGAAATACGGCCTGTTGGTATTTCAGTCTTTGGTAAGTCTCATCCTTCCTGACTTTTCATTTTTATTAATTATTCCTGTCATATATTTTTAAAAATCTAAGGGAAGAAATTTATTAGGGTGAGTGAGCACAAAGTGTAGATGTTTCCAATAGAACAGAGACTGAGGAATATCACCCAAGGAAGACAAACTAACCAACCTACCAGGCAGAACTCTGTAAAATCAAGTTTGAAAAATTCAGCATGGTCAGGTCCAGGCCTCAACTTTGTAGTTCTGGCATTCAATCTCATCACTATTTCAAGGTTGTCTGACCCCTGAAATAGTGACCTACACCAACAAAAGGCCCAGAAACTAATATAGAAAACAAGACAGCTTGTTTTTCACTTACAAAGTAGGATGTAACCACCAGGAAAAGCAGAGACTCACTCGTGCTGGTCTGAGCATCATACTCTCTCCCTCTGCGCAGTTATTTTGGAACCAGAGTCTCAGAAGTTTCCTTAGTGAGAATGGACAGTGATTTGAATGTTTAGTGCATTTACTTAATATATCCAGTCTCACAGGAGGGCTGTATGTTCAAGGAGAACCGGATACTCTAAGTCTACCTTATAATGAGGAGCAGAGGTGAGAGTTAAATGGCACTTACATAGTTTGCCCCTCTGGCTTTTCTTCTTTCTTGCTTCCCTGGCTAGCCAGCCCCATTTCTGAAAGGCATAGCCTTTCATAGCTGATTTGGCTCACAGGACAATCTTTTTTTTCTCTCTTTTCCAAGTTTTTTGAGACACCTTAGTGTTTATGCCACCTACATAGGTATTGTTTTACCTTCCCCTGGTCCGTATTTTACCACCCAGCATTATTGTAAAGAGAGAACCTCAGAGTAACACTGACATAAACAGATGAGTCCCAAAGCTGGATTGGGAGGCTGGGGGTGATACGAATAGAACAGACAAGACAGAAATACAGACACAAAATGGAAATATTACATTCACTGCCCATGGTGAACACTAGAGAAAACACTGATAGTTTGATGTTCCTTGAAGAAGCAAGAGTTCTGTTTCCTGCTGGGGATACATCTGAGGCCTCCAGTGAACCCTGATACTCTCCATTTCTCCCAGGTATTCATCATCAACCTGCTCCGAGACATCAAATATTTCCACTTCCGGCCTGTAATGGACACTTACATCCAGAAGCACTTTGCTGGAGCCCTGGCATACAAGTAAGTTGTGTTTGATATCATGAATAGGACTTGTGTTTAAATAGAAAGACAGGCTTGGGACTGGCCCCGTGGCCGAGTGGTTAAGTTCGCGTGCTCCGCTGCAGGCGGCCCATTGTTTCATTGGTTCGAATCCTGGGCACGGACAGGGCACTGCTCATCAAACCATGCTGAGGGGGCGTCCCACATGCCACAACTAGAAGGACCCACAACGAAGAATATACAACTGTGTACCGGGGGGCTTTGGAGAGAAAAAGGGGAAAAAATAAAATCTTTAAAAAAAAATTTAAAAAAAAATAAAAAATTAAAAAAAAAGAAAGGCTTAAAAAAAGCTCAGTGGCAACCACTGTTCATTCAGCTGACCTTTCTTTTTAACTTCATTTATTTATTTTTTTACTTGTGGCAAAATACACATAACATAAAATTTACCATCTTAATCATTTTTAAATGTACAGCTCAGTAGCGTTAAGTATGTTCACATTGTTGTACAACCATCATCACCATCCATCTCCAGAACTCATTTCATCTTGCAAAACTGAAACTCTATACCCATTAGACAATAACTCCCCATTCCCCCTCCCCACCCCAGCCCCTGCGAAACCACCATTATACTTTCTGTCTCTATGAATTTGCCTATTCTAGGTACCTCATCTAAATTGAGTCATACAATATTTGTCTTTTTGTGACTGTCTTATTTCACTTACCATAATGTCTTCAACATTTATTCATGAGGTAGCGTGTGTCAGAATTTCCTTCCTTTAAGGCTGAATAATGTTCCTTTGTATGTATATACCACATTTTGTTTATCCATTCACCTGTTGATGAATATTTCGGTTGCTTCTAACTTTAGCTATTGTGAATAATGCTACTATGAATGTGGGTGTACAAATATCTCTTTGAGACCCTGATTTCAGTTCTTTTGGGCATATACCCAGAAATGGAATGGCTGGATCGTATGATAATTGTATTTTTAATTTTTTGAGGAACCACCATACTGTTTTTCACAGTGGCTGTACCATTTTATATTCCCACCAATAGTGCAGAAGGATTCCAGCATCTCCACATTCTCACCAAGACTTGTTTTCTGTTCTTTCTATTTTGGAAGTTTTTTTTTTTTTTCTAAAGATTGGCACCTGAGCTAACAACTATTGCCAATCTTCTTTTTTTTTTCTTCTCCCCAAAGCCCCCCAGAACATAGTTGTATATTCTAGTTCGGCTATGTGGTACGAAGCCTCAGCATGGCCTGATGAGCCATGCCATGTCTGTGCCCAGGATCCAAGTTGGCAAAACCCTGGGCTGCTAAAGCAGAGCACGTGAACATAACCACTCGGCCATGGGGCCGGCCCCTGGAAGTTTTTTGATAGTAGCCTTTCTAATGGATGTGAGGTGGTATCTTGTTATGATTTTGATTTGCATTTCCCTAATTATTAGTGATGTTGAGCATCTCTTCATATGCTTATTGACTATTTGTGTATCTTCTTTGGAGAAAAACCTTTTCAAGTTCTTTGCCCATTTTTTAATTAAGTTGTCTGGTTTTTTGTTATTGAGCTGTAGGAGTTCTTTATATATTCCGAATGTTAACCTCTTATCAGGTATACAATTTCCAAATATTTTCTCCTGTTGCCTTTTTACTCTGTTGATTGTGTCCTTTGATGCTCAGAAGTTTTCAATTTTGATGTAGTCCAATGTATCTATTTTTTATTTTGTCAGCTATGCTTTTGACGTCACATCCAAGAAATCATTGCTTAATCCAATGTCATGAAGCATTTCTCCTATGTTTTTGCCTGAGTTTCATAGTTTTAGCTCTTACATTTAGATCTTTATTCCATTTTGAGTTAATTTTTGTTTCTTGTGCGACATAAGACTCCAACTTTATTTTTCATGTGGATATCCAGTTTTCTCAATACAATTTGTTGAAAAAGATTATTCCTTCCCCATTTATTGGTCTTGGCACCCTTGTTGAAAATCATTTGATGGTACTGGCTCAAAAAGAGACACACAGATCAATGGAACAGAATTGAGAGCCCAGAAGTAAACCCACACATCTATGGACAGCTAATATTCGACAAGGGAGCCAAGAGCATACAATGGAGAAAGGAGACTCTCTTCAATAAATGGTCTTGGGAAAACTGGACAGCCACATGCAAAAGAATGAAAGTAGACCATTATCTTACACCATGCACAAAAATCAACTCAAAATGGATTAAAGACTTGAATGTAAGACCCAAAACTGTGAAACTTCTAGAAGAAAACATAGGCAGTACGCTCTTTGACATCGGTCTTAGCAGCATATTTTCAACTACCATGTCTGACCGGGCAAGGGAAACAACAGAAAAAATGAACAAATGGGACTACATCAAACTAAAAAGCTCTGCACAGCAAAGGAAACCATCAACAAAATGAAAAGACCACCTAACAATTGGGAGAAGATATTTGCAAACCATATATCAGATAAGGGGTTAATATCCAAAATGTACAAAGAACTCATAAAGCTCAACAACAAAAAAAACCAACAACCCAATTAAAAAATGGGCAAAAGATCTGAGCAGAGAGTTCTCCAAAGAAGATAGATATACAGATGGCCAACAGGCACATGAAAAGATGTTCAACATCACCAGCTATCAGGGAAATGCAAACCAAAACTACAATGAGGTATCACCTCACTCTGGTCAGAATGGCTATAATTAACAAGACAGGAAACAACAAGTGTTGGAGAGGATGTGGAGAGAAGGGAACCCTTCTGCACTGCTGGTAGGGGTGCAAACTGGTGTAGCCACTATGGAAAGCAGTATGGAGTATCCTCAGAAAATTAAGAATAGATCTACCATATGATCCAGCTGTTTCACTGCTGGGTATTTATCTAAACAACTTGAAAACACACATTCATAAAGATATGTGCACCCCTATCTTCATTGCAGCCTTATTCACAATAGCCAAGACTTGGAAGCAACCTAGGTACCCTTCAAGGGATGAATGGATAACGAAGATGTAGTATATATACATAATGGAATACTACTCAGCCGTAAGAAAGGATGAAATCCGGCCATTTGTGACAACATGGATGGACCTTGAGGGTATCATGCTAAGTGAAATAAGTCAGAGGGAGAAAGTCAAATACCGTATGATCTCACTCATAAGTAAGTAGGCGATAAAAACAACGACAAAAAACACGTAGTAACAGAGATTGGATTGGTGGTTACCATAAGGGGAGAGGGAAGAGCAAAAGGAGTGATTAGGCTCACATGTGTGGGGATGGACTATAAGTAGTTTTTGGGTGGTGAACATGATGTAATCTACTCAGAATTCGAAATATATTATGATGTACATCTGAAAGCTATATAATGTTATAATCCAGTGTTACTACAATAATAAATAAATAAGAAAATCATTTGACCATATATACAAGGGTTTATTTCTGGGCTATTTTATTCTGATGATGTTTCTATCTGTCTTTATGCCAGTACCACACTATTTTGCTTTATAGTAAGTTTTGAAATCAGGAAGTGTGAATCTGCTAACTTTGTTCTTCTTTTTCAAGATTGTTTTGGCTATTCAGGGTCCCTTGAGATTTCCATATGAACTTTAGTATGGATTTTTCTATTTCTGCAAAAAATGCCATTGGGATTTTAATAGAGATTGCATTGAACCTGTGGATCTTTTTGGGTAGTGTTGACATCTTAAAAGTATTAAGCCTTCCAATCCGTGAACATGGATGTCTTTCCATTTATTAGTATCTTCTTTAATTTCTTTCAGCAACAGTTTGTAGTTTTCAAATTACAAGGCTTTCACCTTCTGGTTAAGCTTATTCCTAAGTATTTTAATCTTTTTTTTTTATTGAGGTGACATTGATTTATAACATTATATGAATCTCATGTGTACATTGTTATATTTCAACTTCTGTATAGGTTGCATCATGTTCACTACCAAAAGTCTAGTTTCCATCCGTCCCTGTACAAATGTGCCTTTTACCCCTTTTGCCCTGCCCCACCCCTTCCACTCTGGTAGTCACCAGTCTGTTCTCTGTATCTATGTGTGTGTTTGTTTTATCTTCCACATGTGAGTGAAATCAGATAGTATTTGTCTTTCTCCATCTGACTTATTTCACTTGGCATAATACCCTCAAGGTCCATCTATATTGTCGCAAATGGCAAGATTCTATCTTTTTTTATGGCTGAGTAGTATTCCATTGTATAACACATTTTCTTTATCCATTCATCTGTCCATTGGCAGTTAGGTTGTTTCCAGGTCTTAGCTTTTGTAAGTAATGCTGCCATGAACATAGGGATGCATATATCTTTTCAGATTAGTGTTTTCATGTTCTTTGGATAAATACCCAGAAGTGGAATAGCTGGATCATGGCAGTTCTATTTGAAATTTTTAAAAAGTCACCATTTTCTTCCATGGAATTAGCACAATTTTTTAAAACATAAATAAAACTCAACCGTGGCAAGACTGTGAAGTCACTGGAACTCTGACACTTTATTGTTACTTTCAAGAGCAAGCACTGTGCTAGGTGCTTTACATGTGTCATCTCATTAGTGTTCACAATAACTTTGAGATGTACAATTGTTTCCTCCATATTTTAAATGAAGATAATGAGGCACAGAGGGATATAATAAATTCCCAAGGATATAGAGCTAGAGACTGATAGGCCCCAGATGTGAACCCTGCTGTCTGAACAGGGCCTGCACTCTTGACTTCTGTGCTCTATTGCCTTGTAAACGTTCAGGCAACTTCTGATCCTGTAATCCTATTCCACTCAGATGACTTGGTCCTAAGGAAATAAGATAGATGGGATGGAGGTGGAGCAAGGAGGGACACATGGGGCTATATATCTTTATTCAGACGCTGCTGTTTACTAGTAATTGTTGTGTGTTCTAGAGACATAGCAGTTTTAGACAAAGTTAAAATACACATCCAGTCCAAGACTTTGGGAAAACTTTCTCGTAATCAAAGAAGAAATGTATGTCAGGGAGAGTGGGAAAGAATAGTTATAGTTGTTAATTAAAATGTGGCAACTATAGGGGGCCAGCCCCATGGCAGAGTGGTTAAGTTTGCACACTGCAGTTCAGCAGCCCAGGATTTCACCAATTTGGATCCTGGGCACGGACATGGCACCACTCATCAAACCATGCTGAGGTGGCATCCCACATAGCACAACCAGAAGGACCTACAACTAGAATATACAACTATGTACTGCGGGGCTTGGGGGAAAGAAGAATAAGAAAAAGAAAGAAGTTTGGCAACAGATGTTAGCTCAGGTGCCAATCTTTAAAAAAAAAATGTGGCAACTCTTTATGGACAAGGAGTGTTGTCTGTTCTCAGATGATCGGAGTTTTACAGCTGTAATGAGTCCATTACTCCATTCTAGCTCATCAGCAGGATAGTATTTCCTGTGTGGCTAATTCAGGGCTGCAGATATTTCAGGCTGCATTGCTTTTGGATTGAAATGTGATTTCTGAAACTGTTTTCTTTCTCAGGGAGCTTATCCGCTGTTTGAAGTGGTACATGGACTGTTCAGCAGAACTGATTCGGCAGGACCACATTCAGGAAGCCATGCGGGTAACATACTGAGCTTGCTGTACAAGCGCCCACCCCTGCAGTTATTTGTGAATAATCTCAGTGGTGTAGTGTGCTGGACAAGTGTAGACGTCCGAGTACACTGCCTTGTTTTCAGGAATGACCGCCTTGATTCATGTATTTCCCCTTTCCTCACCTCGATTTTGCCCCAGAATATTTTTATTCCTGATAATGTTATCTTAAAGGAAGAGGGAGGGATAATGTACACATGGCTCCTCACCATCCTTCCTCCCTGGTTTTTACCAACAGCATCAGTCTTTGCTTCTCCTGGCTAAAGTATAATATCTCCTTCTAAGCCAGTGTTGGTAGCAACATTGATTAGAATTAAGATCTTCCGTTACTTTTCCCTTCTTTAGTAGTTACTAAACATTATTTTTTAAAACTGTTATAAGTAAAAAGAGCTGAGTGGATGCTCTGTATATGGATATGTTGAGAAGAAGATAATCTTAAAACCTTGACCTTTTGGAGGAACCCAGAGTCCTGCATGACAATACCCCTTCTTGGGGAAGTTCCATGACCAGACAGCCCTTTGCATTGCTGGGCAGCTCCGCTTTACAGGGAACCGTCCTTATTGTGAGTTAATTCCACTTTCTGGTAACTTCTTTTCATGGCTACGGCTTCTACTGTAGAGAATCACCTATGAGAATGTCGATTCCTCTTTTACTCAGTAGTTCTCCAGATATCTATTTGAAGAAAGCTGTCATATCCTCTGCAAATGCACTTAAAGCAAATCCATGCTTTCTCTCTTTCTGTCCCTGTCTTTTCTTGTTCTTGAGTTACTTTTCTTTTAGTTGCTTTTTAACTATGTCTTTCCCACCATTTCTGGTTAGCAATAAAAGAAGGGCAGCAAAGTAGCTCAGCTTTCTCTCTATCCTCTTTTAATATCACATCATCTGCTCTAAGTACTACAGGGCCTATGATTTTGCTGTTCTTTTCACATGGTAACAGATGAAACAGATGTTTCTCTAAGGATCATCAGCATCATCAGATTGAAGAGGCAGAATTAAATCATAGGTCTGTGTTTCCCCTGTCTCTTCTCTGCACATTCTGTAAAAATCTAAGGCCACAAGTCTCATTTCTGTCCTTCTTCATACATTACATGTCTACTGAGCAGTCAGCATCTGTTACAGGTGCTAAGATGCAAACAGGAGTAAGTTTGGCCTCTCCCCTTAAAAGAACACATCCCCTGTGTCCTGAGGGGAAGAAGTACAAACACAGGTGTAGAGCACCATTTGGAGTCCGATATGAGGGCCGGGCCTGGGTTCTGTTCTCTGAATCCCAGCATCTGTTAGGTGCCTCACACAATATTTGAGGGCATAAAAATTGAGTTAAATGCAAAAGATTCTGGTGACTCCATAAATTAATTGCTTAAGGATCCTAGAGGAGACGTCACAGAAGTCGTTTTTTCCTAAGAAGCATTCATTCAGTCAGGATTGCTTGATATCTACCATGTGTTAGACACTCTGTTAGCCACTGAGAATTCAGCAGGGGCCAAGCCAAAAAGGCGAGGCCTTCACGGCACTTCCATTCAAGTGGGGGAAAGACAGACAATAAACATGTGAAACAGATAAATACACAAAGTCAGTGAGAAAAAAAACACTTGTTGAATACCACGAAGGAAATTAAAAGGATCATGGAATAGACTAGCTGGAGAGGAAGGTTTACTTCAGATCAAAAGTTTAGCAAAAGCTTCTCTGAGGAGGTGACCTCTGAGCTGAAATCAGTATTAACAGCTGCAGCATTCTAGACTGAGGAAACAACTTGGTTAAAAGCCTGAATGGGAAAGAGCAAGAGTTTCCTAGTAACCAAAAAATGGCTGACGCGACCAAAGCATAGGCTTTCAAATGTTAGATTGCATGTGGGACGTGACAGAAAGGGAAATCTGAGGTTTGTTCCAAGGGGTCTGGCTAGATCAGCTGAGTTGATGGCAGGATCACTTCTGGAGGTGCAGAATTCCTGGAGATCAGGTGTGGGTGGGGAGAAGGAAGAGTTCCATTGAGGGAGTACTTTTCTGAGGTACTTTCATACTACTTCTTACTATTTCAAACTTGTTTGAGTGGCATCTAATACTAATGCATGTAGGCCTAAGGTTTTATCAGGCCATTTCCCTTTCTTCATCAAATTTTGGTTTACAAGTCCTCTTGACCAAACTGGTAAGTCTCTGTCCAATCTTGTTTTCATCCTTCTTCACAGGATGCTTATCTCCTAGCCTGGCACCTCTTATTCTGGTATCATAAGCTTTGGACCAGAAAACCTCCTCCTCTTTATTGCTCTTTATTTAATTGCTCCTCTTTATTCTTGCCATTCATATTCCATCTCTTCCTTCACTTTCAGAGTCATAACCTTTCCAAAAAAGTTCTTCCACTAAAGAAGATAAAAATCAAGAGTCCTTTATTTTCTTACTTGGTTATATTATTTGTTCCCATGTGAATGACCTGTAGCAGGTCTCCTTGGTGGATTTGAGGAAGGTTTTTGGCAAGACATTCCCAAAGACAGCTCAGTTTTCACTGCTGAGCTGCATACCTGGTCTTTACCAGGGAGCCATGAGGAGGAAGGAGAAGGTAAAATGGATCTCCTTGGTGATAGAAAGGTTATAATAACTTTCAGGATCTCTTTTCCTTTCAGGCCTATTAACTTAAGTTAAAAAAGACAGAGGAGCTGCTTCGGCCACAAAGTGTTCCATCATCTCCACACAGGGCTGGGAGCACCCTTGAACTTTTAACAAATTCCATAGGATCCACCCCTTATCTTCTACTCCACTCTTCTACCCTCCTCTCCTACCCCAGTTGCATCTGTCACAGGCAGCTGGCATCATCTGGTCCTGGCCAAGCTGGTACTGAACATAAAAATCAAGAGGACTGGGAAAGGGGGAAGTCAGGTGATGAAGGATGACCAGAAGTGGACCTGTTTTCCATGCCCTTGTCCAGATTTTCACAGGGCTCTCTTTGACACCAGCCTTGTGCTTCTCTGCACAATATTTTCTATTTTAGAAATTAATGGAGAAACTAAGCCCTCATGCCCAGGAAGTACATGTGACTTTGCTGTCTGATTCTGCCTCTCACTTTGAAACTAGTGGATGTTTCAAGCCACTCAGTACATCTCTTGTGGTAGTTGTTTGAAACTGAAAAAAACTGATGATGAAGAAAACATTTTTCTTTTTAAAATTAGAGTATGTAGCGCAGACTTTCTAGGTTCTTTACAGCCAGGCATTAAAAGACTACTGGCATGGAGGCTGTAGCATTTATGGAGATGAGGCCACACACTCTACAAAATCTTCTGGTGCAAACCTTGGAAGACACATTTTTCTAAACTAGCCATCCTCCAATGCCAGCTTAGTTTAGTGTGGGCCACAAAAAAAAAAAAAAAGAGTTTTGCTTTGTGAAACCTGACAGATGGATAGATCATGAAAAATAGCTTGGGAATTGTTTCCTGTTATATATTTTAAGTAACTGAGCTCCATTTGTTTCTTCCTTGGATAAGTTTCTCCCTTTCCAGTGTCTGGGAAATGTGTGGCATTTCTTTAACTAGAAAGCATAATCTCAAATCTTGAATCTGTTCTCTTAAAAGAGAATTACTCTGTTCATAAGCATGGGCCAAGCTGCAGGGACTCTCAAAATCAGATTCTGCTCCCAAAACATATTATTGGAGCATCCTCTTCTGTATTGTTCGTGAACTGTTTATGGCAGGTGTCCTGCTCTGGAAGAAGATGAAGAATGGCTGTGTCAGGTCCACAAGCTGCTGTGCAACCAGGGGCAAGTTTTTGCCAGACTTGACCCCTGGTGAGAAGGCTAGCACTGTGTCAGGCTCCAACTATTTTTCAAATATGCAGAAGACTCCTTAAAAGACTCTTCCTTCTGGGAATAAATTCACAAGAGGTTCTTACATCATTGCCTTTGTAGCCTCTTATTTTCAGAACTGAAAAAAAAATGCAGAGAAACTTTATTTCATTTTGATCCTATATATTCTTGAATTCAGCTACTTTCATACCAGTCTATGGTTCCTCAATTCCAGAACCTCAGAAAACATTCAGGAAATAATTTGATGATTCTCTCAGTAAGAAGACAGCTGCTGCTTGGTAACCATTTAGACTTTTGAGGAAAAAGTTTAAAAATAAAGAAAGTGCTTGTCTCCATAGTTGGAATTGTCCATCACCTGATTTTGGTGTAGAATTTGCTTTTACTTTTCCCTTTATTCCCTGCTATGTGTTCCTAGTCATCTTTAACACCTTTCTATCCCTTTTCCTCTCATACCCCCAGGCCTTGGAGTACCTTTTTAAGTTCATCGTTCAGTCAAGGATCCTGTATTCACGGGCCACGTGTGGGATGGAAGAGGAGCAATTCCGGTCCAGCATCCAAGAACTTTTCCAGTCTATCCGGTTTGTCCTCAGTCTGGACAGCAGAAACTCAGAAACACTCCTTTTCACACAGGTTTGTGAGCTGCAGGGAAGTTTTGCTGCTAGATTCTTCTCTGTCTTAGGAGGTGGTTTCTTTGTCCTCTGGCTTCCAAAGTCAAAGAAGCCCTGCCAGGTTCCTATGTGTTGGGTAAGAGGTGATTTACAAGGAAATACCTAATAGAACAAAACGCTACTTTTACTTCAAAGCCAGCTGTGCCCTAGCTGCCAAATAGAAAACAGCTCAATGGCTTTACGGTGAAGAAGCACAACTTTGTTCTCAGGACCCCTCTTTAGACCAAATTTATTTAATTGTTTATGAACATCTTATTTACAGAGGATATTCAGAATGTGTATGGAATTTTATTTCCTAGTCACTGTATTAATTTAAAAAACCTTAGATAAGTACTTGTCCATTCCAGCAGCTAAGAGTGAAATAGGTTGAAAAACAGCAGAAATAACTATAAAACTTTTGCTAAGATTTAGAATTAGATTCTATTGGAAATATCAGTGTGGAAGGAAATTTGCTTCCTTATGTTTAAGGTGTCTGATCAGCTAATCTGTACCTTTCTATGTAACCTCACCCTAGAAAGGATCAAGGATATTGTTCATTACCCCAGTCACAGGGGGGTTATTTTCTCTTACAATAAATGTCAACATTGTATCTAATGGATTACTCTTCTTTGATTGTTGAAGCCAATTATCAAAACCTGTCAGCAAAGACCAGAAAGCCTCTCTCATGTCCGTTCACTCAGTTTCTGCCAAGTCTGTCATTAGTGCAAATGTATGTTTAAATATCTTGTTTAAGATTAGAATAGTCCCTTTTTTGTTTCTACTTGCCTCTGTGTTGCCTGTTGATGCCAGTTGCCCTTAGGCCCGTTGGCCCAGAGAACAAGTGAGCAACTGGGAGCTAGACTCTATAAAAAAGTCAGAATACCTCAAGGTCGCCAGGTGCCTCTATAAGAAAGGCTCCTTCCATGGTCTCCCCTCCTAAGTACTCCAAGCAACTCATCTTCCTCCTCCCTTCCTCTCGCTCAGCCCGTCTATTCCTGCCAACAAGGGCCCAGGACACCTACTCCTTCATGTTGATTATGAAGTGCCTGCTTTTCCCCCCTTGTCTTTTGTGTCTAGCTGTTTATAATAATATGTTTTTGTACTGGTTCTAATTACTGCAAAACAATCTGTTTGATATCTCAGGGAGTTATAAATCTGCAGATAGAATTCATATAGGTTCTGTACTCTAGGCCAGTGAGTGAGTGAAATTACTGCCTTTTGAAGCAGTTAAGAAAAACAGCTTCCCCTCCCCTCCCTGCCACTTAGGAAGAGTACACTCTCACCTTCTTGTCTCAAGGTGCCACTCCATGTCCCTTTGTAAATCTTGGGTTAATAGTGTAAGAGGACTGAAAAGTGGGAAAAGCCTTGTTCATGCTGCTTCTGCTTGTCTAAGAGAGAAGAATGAGAGCCAGCATTTATTGAAGGCCTATTGTGTGCCAGGCACTCTGCTGGAAACTAACTTTAGGCACCTAATATTTTTCTTCATACCAATACCAGGAGAGAAGTAATAGCACTGTCCCCATTTTATAGATGAGAAAACTGCAGATTAGGCAGTAATTCACCCAAGGTTGTACGGCAGATAAGGGGTAAAACTATGATTCAAACTCATGTCTTTCTAATTCCAAAACCCATTCTCTTTTTCCTGTCCTACTCTGCTTCCCCAAATCTCTGGAACTATTATCAGGTTGTCCTTAAGAGGCCACCTCATGGGTCTACTAGAGCTGAGATCCTAGAAGAGAAGTCTTAGAACACACACTCTTCATTTTCTCAGGCCATCTAGATCGCTGAACTCTATCCCAATGCCATCAACAGTCCTCAAGAGTTCATGGATGACTAAATCCAAACATTCTCCATCCTTTTGCATTTATACTTGAGACTGCCAGGCATCACATATGAAGGAAATAATTTACAGAGTCTTTGGATTTTATGGTTTCAAATAAATGTCTCTGTTCTGGGAAAATAGTCCAGCTCTCAGAGCTGAATTGCTGGCTGCAAGGCTGTGAGTGGAGTTCAGCTAGTGCTGCTTGGAGGTGCTCAGCTATCTCTGCCATACATGCTTTGAGAGGTTCCTGGCTTGAGTTTGGAACCAAAATTGGTAAGTCAAGAGCTTGGTTTTAGAGACATACAAAAACTTTTAATCCATTTCATGAGCAAAAACAGCTTTGGATATTAAACCGTGTTGAGCTGCTTTCTCTTTATATTCCCTTCTCTTGCCAGCAAATGCATTGGCAAGTTATGAAAGCTTCAAGTGGCCTGGGCGCTAGTAAATTCTCTTGTTTTGGTTTCCTTTTTGATCCTTCCTGTTCCATGCCACAAGAGCGCTGAAGGGATGAATGGGGTCAAAGGCCAGGGAGGAGCACATCTGAGGCAGGGGTGCTACAGTGCATGAATATGCAAGATAGAAATACTCCTAACTCTGAGCTAACCGCAACTTCACTTGCTTCTGCAGGCTGCACTCCTCAATTCCTTCCCAACCATCTTTGATGAGCTGCTGCAAATGTTCACCGTGCAGGAGGTGGCAGAGTTTGTGAGAGGGACTCTGGGGAGCATGCCCAGCACTGTGCACATTGGGCAGTCAATGGATGTCGTGAAGCTACAGTCCATTGCCAGGACTGTGGACAGCCGCCTGTTTTCTTTCTCAGGTAAATCAAGTTGGGATGAGAGTCAAACCCACCTTTCTTCCTTTCCAGGGTGTTAGCCCAATGGTAATCAAAGGATCAGCTATGTCAACCATTGTGCAAGAAGCCAGTGGCCCTTAAAATGCAGTTTTGGGGGGACCAGTCCTGTGGCCAGGTGGTTAAATTTCCATGTGCTCCCCTTCAGCGGCCCAGGTTTGCAGGTTCAGATCCAGGACACAGACCTACTCCACTCATCAGCCATGCTATGGAGGCATCCCACATCCAAAATAGAGGGAGATTGGCATGGACATTACCTCAGGGCTGATCTTCCTCAAGCAGAAAAAGAGGAAGATTGGCAACAGAGGTTAGCTCAGGGCGAATCTTCCTCACCAAAAAGAAAAAACTGAAAAAAAATCCCAGAGTTTTTAGTAAACTATGTTAGAGAATGCAGCCAAGACTAGGCCTGCTGTCTCACTCACAGTTTATTCCGAGGGACCCACATGGGGTGGTGCTAAGCAACCTTCAAGACAACAAGTCTAGCCAGTTTCCAAGAGTAGGGCCTGCCACACCCCCCAGCAGGAGAGGAAAGCAGAAGGAAAGGAAGGGGAGCAAGAAAAAAGGATCTAGCCCAAGGGGATATGGATAAGTCAAGGACATACTAAAGGAGACCCTAAAAGGGGACCCTGAGGACACACTGTACTTTCTTGGTCCCTTGCCTCACTAGTCAGATAGATTCCTTTTCCTTTCTTTGAAGGAGGTTCTAAGGATTAGACAAAAAGGATTAGACAAAGGGAGCCCTTCACGCTCCTCAAGAGGTCAGGACAGCCTAACAAATACCATCAGCAACCCAGCCTGCCTTTCAGAGAGAAACTCCAGATCCACACCCAAAACCACATTGAATGTGATAAAGTGCAACCTTGCAGTGGTACCAAGCACTCAGTGGCCAGGTGTTAAGATCAATATGAGCCTGATCCTTTAAGCAAAATATCACTATCGTGGAATACACTTCTAGGGCATAAGAATAAATCTGAAATGCTAGCAAAACTATTATTATTAGAATTTTTATAATTAGAATTTTTGGTAGGAAAATTTTTTAAGTTTGACTTTTAAAGTATGAGAACAGTAATTTCTCAGCCCAGTACTGTACATATTTGCAGTACTAAATAGATGTTCCCTTTAACTTAACTCTGCAGTGTAGGATATTGCTGATGGTAAAGCTGTACCAAGAAAGTCAGCTTTTCTCAACTAGTAACTGTTTATGGTAAACACTTCTCTCTTCACCAGTTCCTGGACTGAAGATTTTATCACTGGTTTGGACACACTATCACTGAGGCCATTGCACACACTCAAGCTTTGTGCACTGCTTAGAGAAGAACTTTCTGAATATACAGGAATGGACACAGCAGACTGCCCTCACTGACATAGTTTACTTCTAATATTTTTTTATTTCTAATGTTTCTAATATTTTTGTATATTTTTGCCACTTCCCATAATCACTTAAGAAAAATTTTTCTTAAACTTTATATAGCAGTGGAACTATGTAATTGGATTTTGAGATGACAAACCATCACCAGATTTTCATTTGCATCTCACTTTCATTGAATCCCTGAGTTGCAGCATCTTCCCTGAAGCAGAAGGATATTTACCAATGGTGTCGTTAAATCAACACTTATATTCTCAGAGTGTATCAGTTTGGTCTCTTCTTCAGCAGGTTCTAGGTTTTGTCTGCAGGCAGCTATTGGTTGTTATAAATCCTGCTATGTTGGTGTTTTGATCTACAAAATACAGTATGAACTTCTCTTTTATCCAAGTATCCCTTAAACATAGAATGGCTGTCATTCCATTTTATTTGAACATATTTTAAGTATTTGACAAGGCAGTCCCAAAGTCTCTTGTATGTCATGCAATTTGTCTTTGGCTGAAAAGATTTTCTTTGAGTTTTTTCTGGAACACAGTTATAATTATGGGCAAATATGAACAATAAATCCAAAATGCCGTAGCTTGTGTTACTGTTCATCTGACTGAATCATGCTGGCCAGGTATGAAGGTACCTACAGAGTTACACAATCACTGAATGAATAGGAGTGTAGGACACCAGAAACATGTTGACGCTTGTATTTCACTTTGGCTTCTCGCCACACCTGTGAAATAAATGTGGAAGAGGCCATTAGCACCTCATTCTACAGATAGGGAAAATGAAGCCCATAGGAGGAGTCAGCCTGCCTAAGATCTTAGAGTGAATTAATAAAGGAGTTTGAACTAGGATTCAGCCTTCCTGAATTCAGCGTTCTAAATATAGTCACCTCCTGATGAAAATGCTATTTAGGTAACATTGAGGAGAGAAGAAAAGAAAAATATTTGAATGTATGCAGTGTATTGGCAATAAGGTTTAGATAATTATCAAAGGCTTATAACAAAAGTCCTGCTTCTATTCCCTTCATTGCTGTGGACACTACTAGCATCCCACAAGCCTGAGGGGAAAAGGAAGCATCATGGCTACCACAAAGTAAATGCTCATGGGGGTGGAAGTGCCAGGCCTTCATGGCATAGCCAGGGCATCATGAAGAGGGGCCATTTATAATCGATATCAAGTCTGTAAGTTCAATCAATGTAGTTCATAGAAGTAGGTGTGTCATTTAAATGGAGCTTTCACTGTAAGCTGTGCTTTTAATTTGGAGTCTAGTCCAAATTAAAAGAGATTTTTTGGGGGGAAGCAATCTCCTGACAGTCATCCTGCACAAAATGCCATAGATACCTAGGCTAAAATGAGAAAGCAGGAAAGAGAGATAGAAGGATAATGCTGTGAAATATCTTATAACGTCCAGAAAGTGAGCTTTTAGGCCCACATAAGGTAAGGGGGTGTCCTCAGCTTGGCTCCAGTCCAACCCCCACCTGCTTTGAGACCAGCTAAGTCCCATGGTTCCACTGGCTTCCAGAGATAGCTAGTTCTCCTCTAAAGGACTTCTTCACCTTTGTGTTTTCTCTCCCAGAATCCCGCCGCATCCTGCTTCCTGTGGTTCTCCATCACATTCACCTTCACCTGAGGCAACAGAAAGAGCTGCTAATCTGCTCAGGGATTCTTGGCAGCATCTTCTCCATCATCAAGACCAGCTCTCTGGTAGTGGCCCCATATTCACTCCACCCCCGAGCCACCTCTCCCCCAGTCTTGTGTTTCTTTAGCCAGAGGCAGGCTAACAAAGATCACTTTGTACACTTCTCAGTCAGAGAAGCTTGCATCAGTGACAGGAAGGTGCCCAAGTGAATGGAGGCCTGTGTGTGCCCAGCAGGCTTCTCAGCACAACATAATCTTGCTATTTTAAAAAGTTGTACTACCATAAATCCATCCAGAAGCGTAGTTATCTATTGTACCAGAAAGCCCAATCCTGTGCCATGCTCTCTTTCTATCAAAAGGTATTGATTCTGTGCTCCTGAGAGTGTTCTGAGGATGCTCAGACATGAGCACAGGGAGGCAGGCCCAGGCTGAGAGGCAGCTTGCTCATTCAGACTTTTCTGTCAGCTTCCTGGCATGGCAGCTTGATTCCGCCCATATGGCATTCCTATACCATGACAGATAAGGTCAGGATGTACAAGAGATAAATGTTGCCCACAAGAGCTCTGAGCTTTCATAGGATGGTAGAAGTGTACTTTAGGAGTCAGGTTTCAACTAGTAATGCTTTTGCGTATTTTCTTTCATCTTTATTTTTTCTTTTTCAAAGAGATCTGTGGTGAGAGGGGAGTGAGGAGGATAGGAAAAGAGGGAAGAAAAGGTGTATCGTGCATGGATAGGGTAGGAATTTATTTTAATGATACTTATTTTATATATTTATGATAACAAGAAATGCACGTTTCTTATAGAAAATTTGGAAAGTACAAAGAAATAAATTAAGAGCAACACTGAGTTTTTTACTACATCATCTTATTAAGTTGAGATAAGGTTTCTAGAGAATAAAATTTCAAATGCATTTAAAATGAAGGCCGATAGCCAGATGATAAGAACATAGGAGGTTAGGCTATCCAGGTAGAGCAGAAGTGGGGCTTGAAAAGAAGAGTATGCTTGGTTTGAGTAGGATACAGGGACCCAATAGGGTACTTTGGTGTCCAGATTGAAAGTACCATCTGGTGACTGGGACCCAGCTTGGCAGAGTGACTATGATGGTCATAGTGACCCTGTTGTTTGCTCTTTGCTCCAGGCAGGGCTTAGCAGCTCTCCTTCCCACCAGGCTTCAGAGAGGCAAGACCAGCGCATAAGGTCTACTGGTAACCCAAAGTCAGACTTGAGGGGATGGGAGGCTTATTGCTAAAGGAAGGAGAGGAATTTAAGGGAAAAATAAAGGGAAGGGAGGAATGAAGAGTAAGGAGAACATGTGAAAAATTTGAAGGAGATGGTCTGGTTGTATTTGTGGGGCTAGAGAGTTGGGTGCAATTAATGGTTTACAACTACTCAAAGAGATAACGCAGATAAGAGTGTTATGATGAGTTCAACACATGAGAAAGATGACTCTTGCCCCAAGAGCTGCTCAAATTCTTCGTTTAGAATGGGGCACAGTATAATTATATTGAATGGATGAGTAGGGGGTAGATGAAGTTTTAGCTCCATGAGAGCAGCAATATGTCTTTCTTGTTCACCTCTGTATACTTAGGTTCTCAAACAGTGACTGATATATGGTAAATGGTTGATGGATGGATGGACAGATGGATATTTGGACCAGTAACAGTATAAAGAGGCTGGAGAGGTGGCAATCGGAATCTCTTTATGAGATAATTAAAATCAAGCTGCAGGATTTGAGATTGAATGTGAGAAGTCTATAAAAGGATGGCATGGACTCTTCCTAAATTCATAGCATGATACCTAGGAAGTAGCCCTTAGTGAGGAGACATGCTCCATTGTTTTTGTGAGGCTGCCCAAGAAAGGTGCACTGAGATCAGAGTTCTTCGGATGGACCAGGGGACACAAACAAGAATACTGAGGAGCTAGAAGCAGGACCCAGGCATACCTGGAGAGCACTCGGGGCTGGCAAAGATTAAGATCACCCAAGGAGAAAACCCTGAAGGAAAAACGGTCTTCAGAAAGACTGAGATACTTCTGTGTGCATTAGCAATAGTGAAGGTGCTACCACGACACCCTGTGGTGTGAATACTTACCATTTTCTCGAAGTGTTACCAGTGTTGTGCTTTCCCCTGACTTTTCTAGGGAAATGAAAGAAAAATTTAACTCAGGACCTTTGTTTCTGCCCTGTATATTGAAATTAACGTATCTGCCTGAGGTTCAGAATTGTGGATGTTAGGGTAGTGCTAGGTTAGGGTAAGACTCCAGCCACCATACCAGTCAACAGTGACAGGTGTGCCTCACCTCCTCTCAGAGCTGTTGTTCCAAGTTCCTTCATACTGCATGCTAGTGAAGCCGAGAGCTCAGTGTTGAGAACCCAGTCAGAAGACCACTCCTGACATGACTGATTTAGTAAGTACTGCCAGCTGAATGTCAGCCTGGCCTGATGCTAATGGTGTGCTCTCTCGCTGCTTGCTCCAGGAGGCAGATGTCATAGAGGAGGTAGAAATGATGGTGGAGAGCCTCCTGGACGTGCTCTTGCAGACTCTGCTCACCATCATGAGCAAATCGCACGCTCAGGAGGCGGTAAGAGGGCAGCGGTGCCCGCAGTGCACAGCCGAGATCACTGTTAGTAACTAACATTCAGGTTTTCTTGCTTTCTTTTCTAACCTGGGGCTCCTCCACGCCAACCTCCATCTCAGCATCCTGTCATCCTCCCTTCCTCCATGGTTGCCAGCATGCCACCCTTTTCCCTCCTCGAATCTGACTTGCCTCTCCACTCTGAAAACTCTAGGTTCATACTCCTAGAAGTCTACTTTAGGGCAGATTCAGAGAATGCTTCTTGTTCTGTTTTCCTGCACACTGTCTCCATTGGCTTTTGAGTCAAGTCACTTTCTATAATGTGGAATGAAGCAGAGATGTGGTAAGAGGTAAGGTGAAAAAATAGGCTATTCCTTCTAAGAACAGGCTCTCCTAAATGATGTATACAACAGAATAATTTTCTCAGAATTTTCTTGTAACAAAGTAGTTGCTTTTGTCCATAGTGTTTGTATCTAAATGTCTATCACCAGGAAAAATGTGATGAGATAGGATTACACTGGCCTTACTGGATAATGATCTCCCATGATCTAATTAGAAGAGAAACAGACTGGGAAAGCCTCTCAGAAGGGGCAGAGACAGCCCCCAGAGCCCCGTCTCCTGTTTCCAGAGTGGACTTATTAGCCCTGATGTTGGAATATGATAAACAGATTGCATGGAATCTTCCAGTTGGCAGGTGGGAGATTACAATAATCTCTTTGAAGAAAACTCTATGGGAGCAAGCCAGGCTCCAGCATGCTAGGGAGAGCAGAGAGAGAAGAGAGCTGGCATGTGTTCTGGAGCATTGGGCTTGGAAAGAATGTCTGCTACCTTTGGAGCTCCTATTGAGGGCAGTCTTGCTGTAGGTAAAAATATATGCTCCCTTGTATGTCCTGGTAACCGATCCTTCTAACCAACAACAACATAGTTCTTATTGTGGGCCAGACCTTGCTTTATGCACTTTACAAATATTAACTCATTTAGCAATACTAATGAAGCAATTCATTTTATATAGATTTAATGAAGATGATAATTTATTGAGCACTTCTTTATGCACTGAACTTTTTACTTAATTGCTTTGTATACAGTAATTCATCTGATCCTCACAACAAATCTATGAATTATGGCTTATTATGCCCATTTTTTCAGATAAAACTGAAGCTCAGGTACACATATATACTTTACATGCATATAGGTATAATAATTTCATGGCTCTAGAAAGGATTTGAGAAACTAAAAAACTGTTATCAAATTCCCCGTGAGTTTAAAAACATTTGAAAATTGTCCAAATGGAGTGATTTTCCTCCATCCCTTTTGAAGAGGCAACCTTCTAAGAGGAGGCCATGCTTGACTACCCCAGGCCAAAACTTGCTGTAAGATAGTGAAAGTCTTTGGAGTCCTTAAAGCAGGGTTTTCTTCCATGTACCCCAGTTGGAACTTGAAGAAATTTTGAAAATTTATTTTTTATCCTTAAATTTTTACTTGTTGTAAAGCCCGTAGTTCATCTTCTCATAAAAGTCAGTTTTGACTCCTCTACTTTCCAGATGGTTATGTTGATTTACTATATTCCATCTGCATGTCTGGTAACCACATGTAAGCTCTGGAAAGTCCCCAAAGAGATCCTTGTAGAAGAGCTGCTCCAGCCCAACAGGATGAACAGAGAAGGTTGAGCACCCTTTTCTGAGTAGCCCCTCCAGATTTCAATACAGTGCCCTGGCAACATATAGTGACAAAGGACTGTTTAGCCAAAACTTTCCTAGCAAAAAGCAACTAGACTATTGAAGTACTTCTTTGTTATAGGTTAAGGTTTTTCAATTAGCTCAGTGCTGCAGAGGTCTTATTAAAACTCCCAAGCCCTTCAGGCCTCCCTTAGCAGAAAAGAAAACTCATTTTCAGGGCCAGTGTCATCACTTTCCCTTTCATGATCATTGGGGCCATCTCAGACCCTTCCTTTTCTCCTTGCCCTCTATGGATTGGGGGGACACAGCCTTTGTGATTGACTGTGCTAAGTGGTTTTTTGGTTGGTCCCCAGGGCGAGTATGTGTCCTGCCTTCTCTCGCTGCTCCGCCAGATGTGTGACACCCATTACCAGCACCTCTTGGACAACTTCCAGAGCAAAGATGAACTCAAGGTAGGCAGCAAAACACTGACTTTTCACCCAGAAAGGGAGGCATGCAGCTAAGACTACCCAGGGGCTTTTCATCTGCCAGAGAGCGAGTGCAAGTGACCAGTACTGCCAAGGGTGTAGCTCTACTTTATAGCTGAAAGTGTGGCTTTCAGGACCTCAAACTGGCAATGTCCCCCATATAGCCAAACCCCAGTAACATTGGCACGTTTTCCCTGACTGATAGCAGCCCCGTTACCATGTGCCTCTGTGAGAGACTGTGGGCCTCACTGGTTGTCAGCAAACCAGTTCTCCTCTCTTTCTTATGAACTCAACAGTTGCCTTATATTTTGTCTCTGCAAATCAGGCTCCACTGTTTAATAACTATAATAATAATGATGTGGCAACTAGACTTTTGGTGGGGAACATGTTGTGGTCTATACAGAAGGTGAAGTATAATGATGTACACCTGAACTTTATACAATGTTATAAATCAGTGTTACCTCAATTAAAAAGATAATAATGGTGACAACTTTTCATTACAATGTATTTCTGGAAGATACCTGTAGAGAGCAAAAGTAAGCACTGCCCATCGGCTGCCAGACTCTGGATCCAAACACTGAGGGGCAGATAGTGCAGAGAAATGGGCTCATGATCCAGACGACAGGAGAGCGTTCCCAAGCTTTTTGCAGTATCCGCTTCTGACAGACTCCTGGAGCTTTTGTCTGCATTAAAACATGCTACTAAGTTCATCCCTGGATAAAGGAACTACTGCAAACTTTAGGTCTGTGCTCTGCCTCCATTCAGAGCCAAGTCACTTGTTTTTCCTGGTAATTCATTACTCCGTTTTTCGTTTGTGTGATCTTTATTAATCATATTGTTTCAGTTAATAAGTATCAGCTGTCACTTTCTAGTATCTGATCCTGCCTGTCTTTCCACAGACATGGGTCTCTGCAGGTTGTTATCATTAACTCATTGCACTGAGGCCAGCCTGTCATCTCAGAGGGTGAACTTGATAGCCTTTGAAGCAAGCTGAAAGTTAGCCAGAGCCGGAGCTCACATCCAGGCCAAGTAGTACTTGAGCTGGGGTGTGGAGCCTGAAAGTCCAGTCTTGGCTGTTCAAGATCATTTTCATCCTCTGTCTTTGTTTCTTACGTACTAACTGATTCTCCGTCAGAAGCTCAGGGTGGCATCATTCGCTTACTTTTTAATTAAATGTTTATTTTTATAACAACAATATATATACATAATTTTTGAAACCAAAGCATATTACAAAGCTTATAACATAAAACGGTGGTTCCGTGCCTCAACCTGAGCTATATCCAGTTGCTACTCCCCAAGATCAGCCATTTTACCATTTTTTTTTTTTTTGAGGACGATTAGCCCTGAGCTAACATCTGCTGCCAATCCTCCTCTTTTTGCTGAGGAAGACTGGCCCTGAGCTAACGTCTGTGCCCATCTTCCTCTACTTTATATGTGGGACGCCTGCAACAGCATGGCTTGCCAAGCAGTGCCATGTCTGCACTCGGGATCCAAACCAGCGAACCCAGGGCCACTGAAGCGGAATGTGTGCACTTAACCGCTGTGCCTCCAGACCGGCCCCCCAAGATCAGCCATTTTAAACTCTTGTGCTGCTCTCTGAGTAGCTTCTACTGCCATTTTAAAATTTTTAATTGTTAGTTATTATCTATTTTCTTCTTCCCATGGAAGATGAGGATGTTTCTCCTGAATCGTTCATCTCTCATGTATACATGTCCTTACTCTTGTTCTTTGAATACAGTTTGTATACATTTTTGTTTAAACTGGTAATCAACTCTTTATAAAAAACAGCTAGGTTAGTACTGTGGTGAGCCAGGAGTTGTACTATTAGACTTCCTTTCTTGTAAAACATTTTGTTTTTCTTGGAATTAATTGCCTCTTTTGTTGTTTTCTTGTTTTTTGTTTTCTTTTGGTTTTCAAATCTGGCTAGGATTTCCTACTCCTTCTATCATTTCTGTAATAGACCTCTTCTTCCAACTTTCCTCATGGTCAAATCTGTCAGATACTGTTAGGTCACTTTTTTTTCCTGGAGACTTGCCCTGTTTTTATTTGTTTCAGTCTCAGTCTTTCATGTTAGAGACTTTTCTCCTATATGCAGAGACTCCTGGATGTCAGTCTTTGTCTAAAAGTGAGGTACTTTGGTGCTTTATGTGTGTGTCTCTAGCAGGTTTCCCTGTAGATGACCAAAGAGGATCTGGTCATTCAGTCAGAGCATCCTCTAATTCCTATGTCTGTTGGCCTGTTCTCTTGGTTTTGTCTACTTCCCTAGATAGGAATCCTTTACCCCTCCCAGGGATGGAGTAGCCTGCCAGTATTTTGGGAACCAAATAGCAACAAGGGCTGGCAGTCTTCCAGATAAGCAGGTCAACCTTCTCTCAATGCCTGTTTTCGTTTTGACATCTCAGCCCTCAGCTGTTGCTGAATCCTTGAGAACAGATCTTCAGGGATCAGCTATTCCAGAGAGCAGCCCTCAGTCTTCTGACAGCATGGGGAAAGGCTCTCCACCTACTGATGTGAGATGGCTGAGGGGATCTTGGGGAGACTGTAAACCAATCTTCCTGTTTTTAGCCCTCATACCCCAGTCTCACAGAGGTGTCTGGTGATGCCTACAGTTTCTGAGATTCTTGCTTCCTGGTGCTGTCACCTCCAAATGCTCTTAGCTATTGGTTTTCTTAAGTATCTAAGTTACCAAAAAAACTTTCAAAATTTATTGATCTCTTTTGATTACTGTGATGACCTCATTTGATTACTGTATTCTCCTCTCCTCTTTTCTTTGTCTCTGTGGACCTATGTATTTCTGTTGCTTGACTGTCATTTTAGAGGATTTAAGGAGAAGCAGAGATGAGGGAACATGTTCAATCTACCGCATTGGATATGGAGTTCTGTACATGTTTTCTTTTATTATGACAGCATTATTGAAATATAATTTGCATACCATAAAATTCACACTTTTAAACTGTATAATTCAGTGTCTCTTTGATTATATCCATCTTAAAAGACTTATCACAAGTGACAAGATCAAGTTAACAATTTAAAACTTCCCACAAAGAAAAGCCCAAGACAAAATGGCTTAGTTGGTGAATTCTGTCGAATTTTAAAGAACTAGTACTGATCCTTTACAAATTCTTTCAAAAAGCAGAAGGGGAGGAACATTTTATGAGGTCAGTTTTACCCTGATACAAAAACCAGACAAAGATATCACAAGAAAAGCAAACTACAGACTAATATCCCTTATGAATATAAATGCAAAAATCTTCAACAAAATACTAACAAACTGAATCCAGCAACATGTTAAAAGATGTATACACTGTGATCAGGTTGGATTTATCCCAGAAATGCAAGGTTGGTTTGACAGATAACAATAAATCAATGCAATACATCATTAAGTAGAATAAAAGACAAAAACATAATCACCCTAATACATGTAGAAAAGGCTTTTTTTTGCTGAGGAAGATTTGCCCTAAGCTAACAGCTGTGCCAGTCTTCCTCTGTTTTTTAATATGTGGGCCGCTAGCACAGCATGGCTGCTAATGGAGCTATGTAGGTCCATGCCCAGGAACCGAACCCAGGCCACTGAAGCAGAGCACCCTGAACTTAACCACTGGGCCACCAGGGCTGGCCCAAAAAGGAATTTTTTTAAAATCCACCAACCTTTTGTGATAAAACCATTCAATAAACTAGAAACAGAAGGGAACTTCTTCAAACTGATAAAAGGTATCTGTGGAAAACCCACAGCCAGCATCATACTTAATAACAAAAGTCTGAATGCTTTCACCTTAAGATCAGAAAGCAGAGAAAGAGGTCCTCTCTAGACAATTATATTCATTGTATTGGAGGATCTAGCCGGGGCAATTAGGCATGAAGAAGAAATAAAAGGCATTTAGATTGGAAATGAAGAAGTGAAACTATGTCTATCCTCAGATGATATTATTTTGTATACAGAAAATCCTAAGGCATTTGCAAAAACACTATCAGGAGTAATGAACAAGTTCAGCAAGGTTGCAGGATACGTGATCACTGTACAAAAATTAATTATATTTCTTTACACTAGCAATAAACAATCCAAAAATGAAATTAAGAAAACAGTTCCATTTACAATAGCAACAAAATGAATAAAATAATTGGGGAAAGAAACTAAAGAATACCTGAGTAAATGGAAACACATTGCTCATTGATTGGAATACTTAATTTTTTTTTTGAGGAAGATTAGCCCTGAGCTAACACCTACCACCAGTCTGCCAATCTTCCTCTTTTATGCTGAGGACGATCATCCCTGAGCTAACATCTATGCCCATCCTCCTCTATTTTATATGTGGGACACCTGCCAAAGCATAGCTTGATAAGCAGTGCGTAGGTCCACACTCAGATTCTGAACCAGTGAAGCCCAGGCCACCAAAGCAGAACACATGAACTTTACCACTGCACCCTGGGCCAGCCCCTGGAATACTTAATATTTTTAAGATGACATTACTTCACAGAGTGATCTACAGATTTCATGTAAGACCTATCAAAGTTCCAGCTGCCTTTTTGCAGAGACTGACGATCTGACCCATAATTCATATGGATATGTCAGGGACTCAAAATAGCCAAACAATCTTGAAAAAGAAAACAAAATTGGAGGAATCACGCTTTCCAGTTTCAAAACTTACAACAAACAGTAACTGAGACTGGTACTGGCATAAAGATAGATATATAAATCAATGGAGTTAATTGAGAGTCCAGAAATAAACCTTTATGTTTATATTTGATTGATTTTCAATAGTGGTATCAAGACAATTCAATGAGGAAAGAACAGTTTTTTTAAAAAATGGTGCTGGGACTACTTGATATTTACATGCAAAAGAATGAAATTGTATCCCTTCCTCACACCATGTACAAAATTAACTCAAAAGGGATCATAGACATAAGTGTAAGAGCTAAATTATAAACCTATTCAAAGAAAACAGGAGACTATCTTTATGTTCTTGGGTTAAGCAGCGGTTTCTTAG